ACCGTATGTCTGTCGCTGTATTTCTTTAAGGGTTAGTTTACAGTTATAAATTATCTCGTATTTTTAGCATACAGAGACCGCAAATTTGCTGACTCATATCCATTTCAAGTGATATTACGTAATCAGCATGCTATAAATCCAACATCGGCCATGGATATCAAACTTCGTTTATAGCAAGCAAATGCCGTGACACATTAAATGGACATGGCTTGTGAAATAACTACAATAGAGCGGGGCCATTAATCAAATGATATATGAGATTTATATACCGTAACTTAATATCAAATATTTGAAGCATGCAGCATAAGCAACAACGTCACTGAAACCACTTAAAATATAAATAAAAAATGAAACAAGTAATTGAAGAAAAAAAAATCATAAAAACATCTTACGTTACAGTAGAACCAACAAAAAAGTTTCTGTCCTTCCGTCATTACATTACATTAAAAAAAAAAAAAAAATTGGAATTTCGGATCAAAAATATTTATTCTTTCACTCTAACATCAGTATCCGTATTCTCCATACTCTCCTTTATATATACCCTTTGGCACTGACAAGGAGAATTCGTTTAACAATCAAAGCTAAATTCCCAAGTTAGCGATCATTTCCTTTACTCTCATAATCTTAATGAATGATTCTAAAGCATTTCACCCTTCACACCCAAACATCAGTATTCATATTCTCCATACTATTCTCTACACACTTCTGAAGGGCTGACAAGGAGAATAAGTTTAGAAATCAAGAGCTTTATAAGTTAGTGATCGTTTCCTTTATTCTCATAACATTAATGTTTGATCAGGGGTATATTGTAAGGAGAAATTAGAAGCTGGTCACTCTTAGGGTTAAAGATTCATGTTTATCTGTCTATTGACCAGGCTGAAATAGCTTTTACTTACATCGTTTCATTTATTTCCTCATTACTGACTTGCCTATTTTTTTAATTTTTTTTATTTTTTATCAGAACGACCCTGGTGTGAATGCAAAAGTAAAGAGAAGAAGAACCCCATTGGAATGGCTCAAAAAATATTTTTTTGAAGGTAAGTTAGTTCGAGTCTTAGAATCGGCAGTCAGGCTGTGTTGAGACTATAAAAATAAGCAATCTGCCTTGAATGGTTTCCTTTTGCTTTCGCTTAGCCAAAATGGTAGATATCTAGGCAATAGGAAAAACAAAATAAATGTAACTCGCGTCATACGAATCATATTGGCTACACAAGCTGCCATTTTATTTCATCAACGACAATAACGAGCAAAAATATTTCGTGATTGGCCAGTACCTGTACGAACACTGTACGAACACAAGGGCTAAGCACTCTTCATAAACAATTGAAATATCTGCAAAAATACTGTGGAAAGTTTGATGGCCTCATTTATGAGGTGTTGCTCACCCTTGAACCCTAAACAGATTTCATTCCAGCAAACTTTTTTTTTATGTATTTCATTCCTTTTGTCCTTCAAATTTTCATGCTTTAAGTTGTTTCACTCTTTCGTTTGTTCATATGTCATCGGCATTATAATGTTCTCATTTTTATTTGATAATAGTGACACGGCACCGTCGAAATATCATGTTTTACTGGCGTTGCAATTTTTTTTCTTTTTCTCTTTTTAGAGTTAATTTGAGTGAGGGAAAAACAAAATGGCAACAGTACTAACTGTTAAAAGAATAAAGGGGGGAAGTTTGTAAAGAAATCGTGGTACTGCGTCGGTGGGAGACTGTAGCACGGTAATTAAGTATTATCAACTCAGTTGATAACATAAATTGGCCACCGTAAAGAGTTTTAAAGCTGACGTTTCAAGCGTTAGCCCTTCATCTGAGCGAAAGACAAAGGGCTAACGCTCGAAACGTCAGCTTTAAAACTCTTAACGGTAGCCAGTTAGTAATACTTAATTACCCAGTTCTTAGTGTTGCTGAGGGAAATTAACTTCAACTTTTAAAATCGACATTCCAGGTCAAGCATTGACCGACACTCAAACCCAGGCTCTTCAGAAGCTTGACCCAAACGCACCATGGCACGAGAGGCTAATTGTCAAGCACCGTCGGCTGGTGGGCGTGGCTATTCCGTTCATCTTCTATCAAGTTATTTGGTGGAGTTCTGCAATTAATTATGACTTTTGGAGTCTGTTCCCTGATCGATATTTCATTTCCATAACGATGATATTTGGCTCAATGATTGCAGGTAAATAACTGTTTAAGCCTCTTGACCCCCAGGAGTGACCAGCATGTAAATGTTCTCCACAATATCACCCCTGAATCAAACATTTAGGGTCACGAGAATAAAAGAAAAGATTACCAACTAAAGAAGCTGTTGATTGTTAAAAAAATTCTCGCCATTCGCACCTTAAGAAATGTATAGAGAACGCTGTGAAGAATATGCGTATCGATGTTGAATTTAAACTGTTAATAATGTGATCAAGTAATCGCGGCTGACGGAAAGTTGGTTGAATACGTTTTGTGTTCAGTATTATGCAGCCAAACTGCCTATAGAACGCAAAACTTGGATCATATTTTTGTTCGCTTTCTTTCCTTTATCGATTTTTTTTCTTCATTCACTCACGTACTATAGAAAATTCATGGCTTGAAAATTTGTTAAGATAACTATTGTTCTTGTTCAACCACCAGTACAAAAGCTCATTTTATTGAAAAGATTTTCTCTCTGTCCTAGTCGCAATATATTCCGAGCTAGACTAATATCGAGAGCATCAAATGAAATTTATTCTTCTGGTCAATTCTCGAATATTCCAAAGAGGAGAGGATGAAAGCGTAAATGTGCCCGATTATTACGCTCTCAAATTTCCGTCCTCGTTTATGCAAAAATTTTAAGATAACATGCGAAACGATCAGGTGCATTCTGTGATAATTAATGAGAAAGTATAGTTCTACATTATGAATATCATAGGTCTTTCTCCAATTGCCAACTGTTGATTTATCCAAAACATAATCAATTCTTCTCTTCTGCTTAGGAATGACAAGTGAAGGTGGAGGCGCGGTCGCTTTTCCCGTCATGACCCTCGCTTTTAACATATCTCCAGCAGTGGCACGTGACTTCTCACTGATGATCCAGTCCTGCGGTATGACAGCAGCGGCTTTTACTATCTTCTGGATGCGCGTGCAGCTTGAGTGGCACTCCCTCATATTCTGTTCGCTCGGCGGAATCGTCGGCATGGCAATTGGTTTGGAGTTCATTGACCCAAACCTCACCCCACCTCAGAAGAAAATTGGTTTCGTTTGTGTGTGGTTCTCGTTTGCTTTTGCCTTGTTCCTTTTGAATCTCTACCACAAGCGAAAGACATACAAAATTATCCCAGATTTCAAGCTATGGAAAATGGTTGTTCTGACACTGACCGGATTCATCGGCGGAATTTTCTCTGCCGTTGCCGGCAGTGGCGTGGACATCTGCAGCTTCAGTATGCTGACTCTTCTCTTCCGGGTCAGTGAGAAAACGGCAACACCAACTTCCGTTGTACTAATGGCCGGAAACACTGTGGTCGGTTTCTATTGGCGCCAAGTCATCCAACAAGCTGTGAGTGCCGATGCGTACTACTACCTTGCAGTTTGTGTCCCGATTGTCGTGTTAGGCGCTCCCCTAGGTTCCGTGTTGGGCAGCCATTTTCATAGGCAGGTCCTTGCCGGTTTGATATATGTCTTAGACACTGTGGCCCTAGTCAGTGCGTACGCAATCGTCCCACTCACCAAGGTTTTAATCGGAGTTTCCGTTGGTATAATAGCTTTTGGATTCGTGTTTTTTGGTGCCATCACTTACGCTGGACAGAAGATTATGGAAGGTATTGAGGAAGAGAAGGAACAACTGCCACAAACTCAAGTCAACGGAGAAGTGAAAGAAAAAGAAAACGGAGTTATTAATTACAAAAAAGAAGGAGAAACTGAAGATATTGACTTAGGAAAGCTCAACTCTGGGTTTTCTGCCACCACAGATGTCTCAAGACAGCTATAAGAATGGATTGTCAGACAATACTTATTTGACTCTCCGGACTGAACAAAGCATATATCTTCTCCTAGCAAGGATTCAATACAGTGTTATTGCTCACAGGTTAAGGAAACAGATACAGTCATCAAATAGAAGAAATGGTCTTGACATAATACCAATTCTCAGAATAAGCCTACAGAAAATATCTTATTATCCGTTTGGAGGTTAAGCTATGACATAATGGTAATTAAAATGATGTATTACTGATGTTAAAAACAAAACAAAAACCAAAAACCAAAACAAACAAAAAAGCTACCGGAAAAAAAAGAAAAGCCTTGCATGTAAAGAAAATGTGGAATAAGGCTTTCAGCCTGATATCTATCCAAATAAAAACGACTCCTGCGAAAACTACTAAAGAATTCATTTGAAAATTCACTGAAAGAAGTGACAGTGATCGAGATCCAAGCTGACTTTTGGAAGCATTTAGTTAAGTCTAAATTCATATTCCTAACTTTGGCCACGGCTCCGAGGCTTTGAATAACGATGCATTCATTAGCATCATTTATTCTAATTTATTCAATTTCGTTCATTCTTTCATTCGTTCATTCATTCCTTCACTAACTTTTTGACCCTGTGGCTGAAAAACAAAATGTATATTCACATGTCAGGTTTTCGTCTGTTTTCAATTTCACCACATGAGCTTAATTTCAAATGAGCTTAAGTTAGCTAATCTGACCTCGATGTCATTTTGGCTCTCGTCACGCAAGCGTTGCATGACAGTCACAGATGACATTTGCGAAGCACACAGATTTGACCAGAGGTCACGTTAACTCTAACGACTGTTTTGTATTTACTTGTTATACAACCAATTATAAACATAAACACGTTGTGAAATAGTAAATGAGCTTTTTTTAAAGTAGCCTTTGGTTCCAGTTTAACTATACTAAACATCAAGCGAAGGTTTTTAATGCATCATTTTTTTTAGAGTAATTAGCGTACATGCTGGAAATTCTGGGATAAGTCAGTCCGAAAAACTGTGCTTAAGAACTTACTCACAAATCACGGAGCAGACTTTTCAGGACCGATTGTTAACACCATAAACGAAGTGCTCAATGGTTATTGATATAGGGATTTTTTCAGATACTAGCTGTGGCGAAATATTTATCAATAGATTGGAAAGACTATACTAGCGAGTAAAATTGTAAGTATAACTTGATGAGAGTAGTTTTAATTCTGATGTTTTAGATGTTTGTGTCGAATTTTTTGTAATCAAAATATTCCATTGTTGTACATGAAATTGTATCTATTCCATTCAAACATATATATATATTTTTTGTTTTCGATTGAGGGGTGTATTGGGATGGTCTATCTTTACTTTTTATGTGTATTTGCTTGTGTATATTCATATCAGCGTGTTTGTTTCGTCTTGAGGGTGGGGCTTATAAATGGCTGTTCTGAGACCCATTTTTTTTTCGCGGAAAAAATCTACTCATACCCTTGATAAACCAAAGCAATAGCATCCACTTTTCCTGAAATCTTCGCAAAATGGGCATTTTTTTCTTTCATTTCCTAAAACCACTTCTGAATAAGGAAGATTCGTCTGGCCAACACTATGAGACACTGTAAACATGTGAAACACCCTTTAATGATTTCAACAATTAAACATACAGTATTAAACTCTAATTAATTGCTTAAATTGCATTACTCTCTCCAAAGTTCCCAAGACTAGCACCCCGATGCTGTTACTTCTTGATGCATTTAACAAACTCTGAAAATAGAAAAAAATAATTTTAATTGATATTACGCTGTTTGCTTTCGCTAACCAAGCAAATGCAAGGAATCTGTTGCTAGGACCTTTCAGAGACGCAAACTTCGCTGAAGAGTTTTGAGTTCTTTTACCCAACGCCCTTGAGCAACAACCTTTCTATACCGTTGACCAAGTTTAAAATGCTAAAACAAAGGCTTTCGAGTTGATTGGTCAATGTCAGGGCGCGGTCAGATCTGTGCAAAAACCTTTGTGAGTACCGCGTTATCACAGCTACACTATGGAGATAAAAACTCAACATTTACCGTCGCATTTGCAGACTTTCCCTTTATGTTCTCTTTTCACCGTCTTGAACTTCGGTTCTTCATCACCTGCGCATTTGTATGGCTTCGAGGAGCACAATTCATTACACCTCTTACCATTGTTAGTACATGTGCACTCCCTACGGCAATCGGAAGTGAATAACTTCGTACCCTTTTCGAACGTTTTCCCATCAAGCTCACATTCCTGAATAAGGATTCAATATTTTAGAAGTAACGTAATCCCATGTACAAATTAGTACCTTTTCGACAGTCAACCTTAAGGTAAGGAATGCTTACTAAATCAGAGCGTCCTATTCAATGCCTCACGTTGGCTGCAAGGCGTGACACCAAAACTGCAGTAAGAATTTTGTTGTGTGTTTCACTCCACTTTTCATGCGCAGCTGATACATGTCAGTTAAAAGGGGACCGGTCATTGTTTATAACCGGAGGTGGGGAGGGGGAAGGGGGGGGGGAGAGGGGAGGAGATCGAAGGATTTATGTTAATTCAAAGTAAAATTTACCTTAGCACAATTAGTCTCTGTTGTATTATGAAAATCAAAAAAGACGAAGGAGTCGAGAAAAAAAAAAAAAGCCGAGTGATTAATTTAAAACTAGGTTTTACATTCCGCGGCCACAGTTCCTTCGTCTTTAAATCATCCTTTTGAACAAAAAACGCTAGCGAATAGCTACTAGGTTGTTGGCTATCTTTCCGACGGTATTCAATTGTTTGCGAACAAAGGGATTTTTTCCCAGTTTCTTTCAGGGTTGATCGAGGATTAACAGAAAAATGTCGTTATATATTCATTTCCTATTTTTGCTATTTGCCACTCTCAATTACCTTTACGTCGTCGCCCAGAATGACAGAAAACATGCAGAAACAAATGAAGACAATTATCAGCCCCTTTGTACCGACCATAGTGTAGATTTTGCGTAGAAACTGAAAATAAATAGGTCGGATACGAATCAAATTAGTTCTATCTTTTTCTTTTGAATGTCTTTTTTATTTTTTTCGTTTCTAGGTGGAGGGAACTTGACGCTAAAATGATATATTGTAGAGTGAAGGAATAGAGTATTAAGTCCCAACAAAGGTGAATATATTTCCGAGCACAGTGAAGAGGGTCACAATAGGGTGATGGCTCTATAACTAAAGGTCAGAACTTTGGTTACTCTAGTGCTAACAGTTATTTTCTTTTTTGAAAAAGTTATTTCTCGACTAATGGTTGATATTTTTCAATTTTTTTACATCTAACGTCCAGTTTTTTCGCCTTTTTATGGCGAACAGTTGACCCCATTAAGATTCCCTTTTAAAAGCGGAGCTCTCGTAATCAAAATTGCGAGCTGCAAAAAAAACTTAACAGGCGCTCAGTGAGGGACCCATAATTTATATGGAAGCTTCACCCCGAATTCGAAGAGAACAATTTAGTAAGTACATCTTGGCCTTGGCCGAATCAAAATAGAGAAATTAACGGAGGGATGTTTTCGGAAAGTAAACGTCTCTTCAAAGAATAAATGGATTTCAGAGCGCCATCCCTTGAATGGCAACGTCAAAAACACATGTTTCTTAAATCAAATGAAAAAACGGTAATAAAATTGTTTAAAAGAGAGTGGTGTTTTACCTCGTTTGAAGCCAACGTGTTTGTCTGCCAAGACGTTGAGAGAAAGTGAATGAAAATATCTTTGAGCTCTAATAAAAACTACTTGATACGTGTTATTTTTCCTTATTGGGAAGTAAACGAATTTTCTCTCTAGAGTCCTAATATTTAATTTGTTTATTAGTGCTTCATGATTAATATTGGGTAATGAAAGGGAATTTAGGACCACAATTCATACAACGGGGTTCCTCAAAGCAGAAACAAAATAGTGTATGCTTCGATTGTGGCAAAGAGCCTGACAGAAGAGTTTATTCATTCTGAAGTTCAAACTAAAAATAAAAGGAACTAAAATTCTGTTGTCGCATTCGTTTTTTTCGTCAAAGTGATCAATTTGTTAAAATTCTCAAATAGCATAACCCAACCAGGAGTCGAGTGGGAGTTAACAAATAAATATATATTGAGTTTTCTAACAAAAGCCTCTTCGAAAGAAAAAATAGCCACAGTATGTGGGAGAAATAGAACGTAACTTTCGGCATTTTTTAAAATTTTTTTTTATTTTACTTTTATTTTTGTAGCCCAAAACTGCGTGGCTAATTGGGATGTTACTTTGATGTTGGGTACGTAGATGGTCGTTGGCAAGAGTTTATAACATCTTGTCGTAAGTCATTGTTGGATGCATGTTGTTCTCATTAGAGAAAATTCATTTAGTTTCTACAGCTGGGGGTAAGGTACATTTTCCTTCTTTAATGAACGAATGACAACAGAAACTAAAACAAAATGCAATGTGCTTCAAAAGTTTAAATTAAAATTGCATCTCTGTTTCATTCCACCTTGAATGTCCCAGAATGGTCTATACTTTCACACCGACCAGCCCGGTTACATCCATGATTCTCTCCTTATTTATAAATTGAAAGCCAAAGAGAAAACTGCGCTTGCAAGCTTGTACGACTATCAACGGAGCCATTGTTAAACATGCTAAGCGTGGTCGATTTTTTATCAGTTTTGTCATGGATTCCTTGTCCCCTGTGAGTCTGTGACCATAATTAAAGTATTCGCCGGTATGTTGTCCTAAAATGAAATACTTCATAGCAAAGTTAAGTTGCCGAGTGACAACATAAGGACTGGTTCTGAATAAAACTGCTATCAATTGTCATATTTGAAGTAGCTTTTCTTCTTTTTTTTTTGCGCTTAAACTGGTGCTCATCACTCAAATCCATGCTACTAATCCCTGAAATATTATTTCAAAATTAGTAATTCCACGAGAAACGAAAATAAATAAATAAATAAATAAACACAAAAACAAAAAAGCAAGTCCAGAATAGTATATTTTACTAAAGTACAACATCAGGGATAATAATAAAGAATTTAAAGAGCATATTATGAAAAGTGAATTGAGGGATTTCCCCTTCTGGTCAACGGCACAATTTTGCCATCAAAGTTTAATCTCTTAGTCAGACCTCCGACGGCCAAAACATGGTAGAATCTCGGTACGGGACTAGTCCATGGTTATTTCTTTCCTATCTCAAATATTCCAAAGAGACCGGAGAGGGTGACAGCCGTACATTATGGTTGCCGTAACTATAGATCTTTTCCTTGGCTTTTTTCCTTGAGTCAATGTGAAATTCCCTGAGTTTTCTCCTGTTGCAGCCATGTACATCAACGCCATTGATACGCTCCCTCAAACTCCTGTTTTCTATTGAGCAAAAGTTTCTAGGTTGCATGCCATGCCATTTGCTAAGCCTTTTTCATAACGAATAACAAAGTAATGACCTTCATTCAACTATCTTGAACATCATGTCAAGATTTTTATTGTTCCATAATTTCTGGCAACTCGCGCAGGTGGTGTTGCTAACTTCCAAGTCTGCGAATCTCTGGAGGGAATACGATAGCTAAAAACAAAAACAAAAAAAAAACTGATAAAAAACTTGCACAAGAACTATGATGCGGATATTAATCTTATATCAATACGCATCTTCTCCATAATATAATACATATTTGCAATAGATTTGAAAAGGAAAATTTGTTGGACAATCAAAGTTTCTTAAGTTCAAGTTATTATTTCCTTTATTTTCGTGAGCTTTTTGTTTTATTTAGGGTGACGCTGTTAGAAGAAAAAAAGATGCCTGTCATTCTAAGGGACTAAAGAGTAAAGAGCTTGATAAATTACGTGAAAAAAACTACGCGCTTCTGATTGGCTGAAAACGAGTGCATTCTCATGTAACACGAATACAAAGTTCAAACACGATTAGGAATTGCAAATAGCGCGCACACGTTTTAAAATTTCGTCGTGACTTTCTGTGATGTTTTTCATTTACTTTATTAACA